TTATTTGACAGAGAGAGAGAGATCGCAAGTAGAGAGGAAGGCGGGGGGAGGGGGAAGCAGGCTCCCTGCTGAGCAGAGAGCCCTATATGGCTGGATCCTAGGACACCAAGATCACGACCTGAGCCGAAGGCAGAGGCTTAGCCCACTGAGCCACCCAGGCGCCCTATTTATTTTAAAAAATTTTTAAAATTTTATTTATTTCTTTGCAAGCATGAGTTGGGGGGGGAAGGACTGAGGGAGAGGAAGACAGAGAAACAGACTCCCAGCTGAGCATGGAGCCTGATGCAGGGCTCTACTGCAGACCCCCAGAGATCATGACCTGAGCTGAAGGCAGACACTTAACCCATTGAGCCACCCAGGCTCCCCTCAAGTTTTTATTTAAATTCAAGTTGGTTAACATATAATGCAGTATTGGTTTCAGGAGTAAAATTCAGTGATTCATTACTTACATAGAATACTCAGTGCTCATCATAAGTGTACTCCTTTTATTTTTAAAAAATATTTTCTTTATTTATTAGAGTAGGGAGAGGAGAGAGATCATGAACCAGGGGTGGGGGCAGAGGGAAAGGGAGAAGCAGACTTCCCGTTGTACAGGGAGCCTGATGTGGGGCTCAATCCCTGGACCCCGATATTGTGACCTGAGCTGAAAGAAGCAGCTGATGCCCAACAAGTACACTCCTTAATGCCCATCACCCCTTTAGCCCATTCCCCCTCACCTTCCTTCCAGCAACCCTCAATTTGTTCTCTATAGTTAAGAGTCTCTTATGGTTTTTCTCCCTCTCTGTTTTTGTCTTATTTTATTTTTCCTTCTCTTCCCCTATGTTCTGTTTTGTTTCTTAAATTCCACATATGAGTGAAATCAAATGGTATTTTTCTTTCTCTGACTTATTTCACTAAAATAATATACTCTAGTTCCATCCACATTGTTGCAAACAGCAGGATTTCATTCTTTTTGATGGCTGAGTAATATTCCTGTGTGTGTGTGTGTGTGTGTGTGTGTGTGACCACTTATTTATCCATTCATCAGTTGATGGACATCATCACTTGGGCTCTTTCCATAATTTGGTTCTTATTGATAGCAGTGCTGTAAACATTGTGGTGCACATGCCCCTTTGAATCAGTATTTTTGTATCCCTTGGATACTTAGTAGTGCAATTGCTGGGTCATAGGATAGTTCTATTTTAACTTCTTGAGGAACCTCTATACTGTTTTCCAGAGTGGCTGCACCAGTTTGCATTCCCAACAGTGTCAGAGGTTTCCCCTTTCTGTGCATCTTCCCCAATATCTGTGTTTTTTTCCCGAGTGGTTAATTTTAGCTATTCTGATCATTGTGAGGTGGTATCTCATTGTGGTTTTGATTTGTATTTCCTTGAAGATGAATGATGTTGAACATTTTTTCATGCATCTGTTAGCCATTTATATGTCTTCTTTGGAGAGATGTCTGTTCATGTCTTTGGCCTATTTCTTAACTGGATTATTTATTTTGGGGGTGTTCAGTTTGATAAGTTCTTTTTTGTTCCTTTTCCAGCTCCTTTAGGTGTGCTGTTAGGTTTTGTTGCCAAACTGGTTTTTGACAAAGGTACAAAAGCAATTCAATGGAGGAAGGTTTGTTTTCTCAACAAATGGTCCTGGACCAGGTGGACATCCATAGGCAATAAAATGAACCCTGACCTAAACTTTACACCTTTTATAACAATGAACTCAAAATAGATCACAGACTTACATGTGAAACATAAAAATATACAACTTATAGAAAATAAAATAAGAAAAAAATCATCAGGGTCTAGGGCTAGGCAAAGCTTCTTAGACTTTACATCAAAAGTATAATCCATAGAAGGAGAAGTTAATAAATTGGATCCTAACAGAACCGAAAACCTTTGCTCTATGAAAGATCCCTTTAAGAGTATAAAAAGACAAATGACAGACCTGGAGAAAGCACTTATCAGGCAAAGAACTTTATCTAGAATACTTAAAGAAGTTCCAAAACTCAATAGTTATTAAAAAAAAAAAAAAGGGAGGGGGCAGCCCAATTAGAAAATGGGCAAAAGGCATGAACAGACCCTTCACCAAAGAGGATAAATGGATGGCAAAAAACACATTAAAACATGTGCAACATCATCATCCACTAGAGAAATGAGAATTAAAACTACGATGATGTATCACTACAGACCTATCGAAATGGCAAGAATAAAGAAACTACTGACAACACCAAATGTTGGTGAAAATGTGGAGAAACTGGATTCCATATACATTGCTGGTAAATGGTAAAGCGACTCTGGAAAGCAGTTTGGCAGTTTCTTCTAAAACTAAACATGTGATTACTTTCCTATCCAGTAATTGCACTTGTCCTTTAGTGAGGTAGATAGTTAAATTATGGCACACTCATTCCACAGAATACTTCTCAGCAAGAAAACTATTGATAAGTTGGATGGACTTCAAAGGCATCATGGAGGAAGGGGTGCTTTTTCAACAAATGGTCCTGGAGCAATTGGACATCCATAGGCAAAAATAGGAAAAAAGCCAATCTTAAAAGGTCTCATACTGTATGATCCCATTTATGTAACATTCTTGAAATAAAGTTATAAAGATGGGGAACAAATTAGTGGCTGACAAGGGTTAGGGATGGGGGTAGATATGGCTATAAAAGGATAGCACAAGGGAGCCTGATAGTAATGTCATAGTTCTGTACAGTGATTGTGGCGGTGTTTATGGGAATCTACATACATATTGCATAAAACCACACATACACACCAATGCATGTAAGACTGGTGAAATATGAATAAACTCTGTGGATTGTACCAATGTTAATTTCCTATTTAAATACTGTACTGTTACTACTGTGGGGAACTAGGTGAAGGGAGCTGGGAGACCACCTTATGTGAATCTATAATTATTTTTCAACAAGTTTAAAAACATCTTAATTTTGGGGCACCTGGGTGGCTCAGTTGGTTAAGGGTCTGCCTTTGGCTTGGGTCATGATCCCAGAGTCCGAGATCAAGCCCCACATTGGGCTCCCTGCTCTGCAGAGAGCCTGCTTCTTCCTCTCCCTCTGCCTGCCTCTCTGAGTACTTGTGCTCTCTATCACCCTGCCAAATAAATAAATAAATAAAAATCTTTTTTTTTTTTTAAAGATTTTATTTATTTATTTGACAGACAGAGATCACAAGTAGGCGGAGAGGCAGGCAGAGAGAGAGAGAGAGGAAAGGAAGCAGGCTCCCTGCATAGCAGAGAGCCTGATGTGGGGCTCGATCCCAGGACCCTGGGATCATGACCTGAGCGGAAGGCAGAGGCTTTAACCCACTGAGCCACCCAGGAGCCCAATAAATAAATAAATAAATAAATAAATATCTTTAAATAAAATCTTAATTTTTAAAAAATTCACTGATTTTTTTCCATTGGTTTTTTCCAAGGGAGATTTTTAAAAAATATATTTTATTTTTTTATTCTACAGAGAGAGAGAGAGAGAGATCACAAGTAGGCAAAGAGGCAGGCAGAGAGAGAGGAGGAAGCAGGCTCTCTGCTGTGCAGAGGATGTGGGGCTCCATCCCAGGACCCTGAGATGACCACCTGAGCCAAAGGCAGAGGCTTAACCACTGAGCCACCCAGGTGCCCCTTCAAGGGAGACTGGGTGGGGTTTAAGAGTTTAAGGATTGCGACATTTGCATAGATCTTCCCGGTGGTTTCTTAGAAGATGTATATGAGGGAGGGCAAGACTAGAATCAGAAACATGCATTTCCTTGATTCTACGAGGCATTTTGTTTATACTTTAACATCTAAATTGGAATGTTTCATTACAACTATCAGCCAGACAGTAGTCATACGGTATTTGTCACACCTACTCAGAAGAATCAAAACGTGCAAAACGGGTGTCTGAGGCTTGGAAGAAAATTCTAGAGACAGAAGAGGAACACTCTTAAGAAATGCTACATTGCCAAAGCCCTTGATGGCATGCACGGAGGACTACATTGTGTGAACAATCGTGGACATCTAAGACTGAGTATGGAAAAAAAAAAAAAAAAAGGAATCATAGGCGTGAGGCTCTGAATGTGAAGTTTTGGGAATACTGTTACCATGTTACTCTTTTTAAATTTCCTTTTTATGTACGTACTAGAGTGAGCTATTACAAAAATCTGTATCTATATAAGTCTACACTTTCAATAAATGTAAAACTAAAAAATCAAAGTTATAAGAAAGCGTGGCATCAGTTCATTTGCCACCTTCTTTATCCTTAGCGGGAGCTACAATAACGGTTCAGTTTTACAATCCAGGCAAGGGTAATAGTCTAAAGTGAGAGCAGGGGGACGCCTGGGTGGCTCAGTCGGTTAAGCGGCTGCCTTCAGCTCAGGTCATGATCCCAGAATTCTGGGATCGAGTCCCGCATCAGGCTCCTTGCTCGGCAGCGAGCCTGCTTCTCTCCGCCTCTGCCTGCTGCTCCCCCTGCTCGTGCGCGCTCGCTCGCTCTCGCTCTCTCTCTCAGACAAATAAAATCTTTTAAAAAAAATAATAAAGTGAGAGCAGGACGGTGATACGAGGGGAGCGAATCCTAGAAAAACTAAGAATGAAAAATCGACTCACCTCGGTGGACGGGTAAGGAAATCTAGGGTGGTTTCCAGGTGGTTTGGGCAACGGAGTCGATGTGGAGACCTGCATGGGAGGGAGAGGAGGAGAGGGCGTGCACGGGCTGTTCGTTTTAGGAGACACCGCGTGAGGAGCTTGCTGGCTATGCTGAAGGAAAAAGATGAATGAAGTCTCCGCGCGGGGAACTGGGTGACGCGGCCCGCGGCTCTGCCTCCATGGATTCTACACCTCAGAACTATTTGTAAGGGGTGGGAAGATAGGGTCTGCGCGCCCCGCGGTACCGCCTTCTTACCTAGCAGTCTCAGGTCTGGGCAACAGCGTGCTGGCGCCCGCCCGCGGCTGTGATTGGCTGGAGCTAGGGGTCGTGGGCGGACTTTAGGAACTGCTCAGCAATTGGCTGGCAGGGGCCCAAGGGCCCTAAATCAAACTATTGGCACCGCCCTTCCAGAGAGCAGGAGCCTGTTTCCACTCAGCCCTTAGACTGGTAAGCAAAACTATAGTCGTAGTGGTCAGTGAACGATCCCCTCGGCCACCGCTCCTTCCCAGAGTCGGGCTGTGAGAGGAGAGCTGAGATTGGCCAACTTGCAGGGGCGGGGCGGGCTCGGCCGTAGTCGGGCTTGGCTTCGGACTGACGCCTGTCCTGCGCGTTGATTGGGCCGCGGGGTTGTCAATGTTACTGGGAGGCGTGGCCGACGCTAATAAAGTGTGGGACTCGCGCGGTAGCTGCGGTAAGTTGTACCGCAACTGGAGCTGTGGTTTTTAGGTGGAGGCGGAGCTTGGCGGCTCGGTAGACTTCAGCCGCAGCGTTTCCCCGGCCAGGTATCCGGCCGCAGCCTCAGGAGAGAAGATGGATCCCTCAACAGCCACAGAAATGTGAGTTGCCCCTGGTGTGGGGGGCTCGACACCTCCTTGCTAACTCCCACCCCCAGGCCGGATTCTGCGGGACGGAAAATGGCGCATTGCAGCAGCTGCTGCGACGCGGGGAACCACCACCGCGCGCCGCCCCCAGACCTGGCCGCCCCTGGGGAGGAAGGGCAGCACCCCATTCCTGCAGCAGCCACAGCCAGCACCCCACGGGGGCGGGTAGGGGCGCCGGGGTCCCACTTTCATGGCACTCTCTCCTCTGGCTTGCGGGGAGCCCCGTTCAGTCTCGGTAACAGTGAAGCCCGGGACCGGACGAAGGTGGGGCATGGAGAGACATTGGGGAGGGGGTTCAAGACCCTTTCTTGTTGTCTGATCAAATCTGTACTTAGGGCCTCTGGAAACAGTAAAGGGTGCACCCGCCTGTTAATAACTTGAGTTGCTCTGCGATCTCCGGATTTATGTACGCCCCTCGCCCCATCTGTGCCATGTTACCCTACTCGCCCAGTCCCTCTTAACAGTGAGCAAAGATCCAGAAACTTATCCGACAGTTCTTTGGCGCCAGGTGAGCAGCTCAGACTGACTCAGGGGGCAGTGGCATGTGGTTCCAAGCAGCCATTCATCTCAAGGCCACCTGTATAGGAGGTGTTTTCCTGTCATCCGGACCAGGCCAAGTTGGAAGAGAAATAGAACTGAGGATCCCTGACTTCCTCCAGCAATTCAATTTAGTGTCTGACCATCTTCAACACAACCGTCGTCCCAAGATCCTGAGGGAGAACTGTGGCAAGATGAATGACGTATATCCCTCTCAGGACCACTATATATTTAATAGAGACTTTTCTTTCTTATTATTGTCTGGAGTCCTGGCTTGTCTTAGATATATTTGTGTTGCTTCTCTTAGTGACAAAAAGGGGAAAAGATTTACTAATGTGACGCATGGGTTATGACTACCCCTGGATGTTTTATTGCTGAGTGTTCCCAACTCCCAACAAATAGTAAGTGAAATCGTCCCTTCAGATGCTTTATAACCATTTCGCTTTTTCTCTATTTGATTTCTGCATTTTTTTTGAAGATTTTATTTATTTATTTGACAGACAGAGATCACAAGTAGGCAGAGAGGCAGGCAGAAAGGGAGAAGCAGGCTCTCTGCTCAGCAGAGAGCCTGATGGAGGGCTCTATCCCAGGACCTGGGACCATGACCTGAGTTGAAGGCAGAGGCTTTAACCCACTGAGCCACCCAGTCACCCCAAAGTACTGATTACCGCCTGACCCGGACTTGAACCCTGGACCCTCAGATAAAAGTCTGATGCTCTACCGACTGAGATACGCAGGCCTCCCAGAGTAGCTCAGTTCTGATTTCTGTGGTTTTAACTGTATGTGATGTTCTGTGCCTTTTGGCCAAGCCCTAAAATTCCATTTTTTCCTCCCACACACTGCGGAGGAGGGGGATGTACTGGTTCCCAACAGCACACATGTGGGATGAACTGAAGGAAATGGGGAAAGCATGGTGACCAGCAAGGCATCACGAGGTCTCTGACCTTAAAATTGTCATTGGTGCGACCATCCTGGACTGCTTCCAAGACCAAATACTGGCTGCTACCTACTCACTGAGTTTTCACCTTTCAGAGAACTAGATTGCTTAGCTCAGTGGTAACACAAGAGTCTTCTGCCTTCCATGACTTTATATCTTTTTTTCTTTCTTTGTGCTTTAGAGGGAGATGAGAAAGTGATTTCTTTAATGGGGTTGAGTTGGGTATAGTCTGCTAGTAAAGCCTCTGTGAAGAGTTATTCTCTATCTTTTTAGTCCAAAAAAAAAAAAAATTCACTTAGGAAGAATTTTCTGGGTATCAGTTCTGTTGTGAGTAGTCAAGGCATTTCCTTTTTGTGATGATTTAATTCTTAATGCATTTACTCTTGGCCTGCTCCTGTGAGGTATGTTTTGTGAGATTCTGAGCCTGTATGAGGAGTTCTTACTGTAACTTCTATTCTCCATCAAGTTTGAGAGCTCTCCCTCTGTTGGTGCATTCTTTCTTGGGAGAGAAGAATCTCATGCCTTAGGTTAGATTTCTGGGAATTCTTCAGAAGGTGAATTTAGTCTCCATGTGTGGGACATGGAAAGGATTTTATCTTGAAGACCTCCACTAGATTCATTCCTTCTAAGGCTAAGGGAAAGAAAGCATCTGTGTAGTAGTGTAAACCAAGATTTCTCTTTGGGACATGAAGAACTAGGGGAGCTTCCTGAGATTTGACGACAAATCTAGAAAAGGAAGGAACACACTCTATGATGCATGTATTCAAAGACCATTACCCATATTCTTGCTTCCTGTCTGTGCTCTTGGAACAGTTTCATAATTAACACAATTGCCTGGCACCCCAGGTTTATCTAAGTGAAACACCATCTTCTCTGCCAAAAACAAAGCAAGTGAACAGTCCTGACTTATACCTACCTACAGAAACCTTGCCTTTGGTGATTCTCCAAGTTGTCCTTACAGCTGCCCCGATATACTAATCATTGTGTGAAACAACTAATAGCTCAATTCCCCTAAGCAGAGTCTGTCAACTTGCTTGTGTTCTTTAGGCTTTGCATAAAAGAGCTGTTCGGTCCGTAAGTGTTAGTCTTTTATATGAATTTCTCTTAACCTGAATAGGAATTTTCCAGTTTGACTTCATGTGAAAGGCTTCTTTTTTTTTTTTTAAGATTTTATGTATTTATTTGACAGAGAGAGACAAAGTGAGAGAGGGAATACAAGCAGGGGGAGTCAGAGAGGGAGAAGGAGGCTTCCTGCTGAGCAGGGAGCCTGATGCGGGTCTCGATCCTAGGACCCTGGGATCATGACCTGAGCCGAAGGAAGACACTCAATGACTGAGCCACCCAGGGGCCCCAAAAGGCTTCTTTCTGACAGTCAGGGAAGTGCCATTTAGTTCAAGGCTGGCACCTTTTTCCCTGTAGCCATTGTGCCAGAGATGTTTGAATTTAGGGCAAAGGATAGCCCCAAAGAAGATCTCTTGATGCCACCCTGAATGTCCCTGAACCCCCCCTAAATGTTGTTACAGGATCTTTCATCTTTTGCTTCTTCCTCTATGCTGCATCTCCCTCCTTGGTGTTGCCAAGAAGTTAGAATCCCTTCTGGTTGCATGGAGCCTCATCACCATAGCATTTGTCATATGGGGCCAGAATGCATGTGATTCCTTTCTTGTCTCAGTTACTTTGTGTACTCGGTCCCCTTCCCTCCACAGGTCTGCTCCAGCTCAGCCTCCCACTGAAGGAACAGAAGGGACTGCCCCAGGAGGGGGCCCCCCTGGCCCTCCTCCTAATACGACCAGTAACAGACGACTACAGCAAACCCAGGCACAAGTGGAGGAAGTAAGTGGAGAGCTTTTTCTCTGAGAGTTTCCAGATGATGGAAGTTTAGAAACTTTTTTTTTTTTTTTTTTTTTAAATAAAGGGGTGCCTAAAAGCTCTGGGAAGCAAGGCATCCCTGAGTTACACAGGACCAGACTTGAGATTCTGTTGTTTTTCACCCGTCTCTAGCAGGGAAGCTTACTAGCTTTGTTTCTGCACCCCTTCAGGTGGTGGACATCATGCGTGTGAATGTGGACAAGGTCCTGAAGAGAGATGAGATACTGTCACAGCTGGATGACCGAGCTGACGCCTTGCAAGTGGGAGCGTCACGGTTTGAGACCAGCGCTGCCAAGCTAAAGAGGAAGTATTGGTGGAAAGACTGCAAGGTGAGTTTTCTTGTCCTCTCTGCTTTCTCTTCCTGGGCCTCAACTCCTGGAAGAAAAGAAAACGCTCAGGTTCTACCTTCCTCCTCTCCCATGGCACTGAGGAACCTTGAGGGGAGGAAATCTGAAAGCCTCCTTGAGATGCAGTACCCAGAATTGGCCACCAGGGTAGGCTAGAGCGCTCAGAACCACTAACTGGGTGCCAGCCATACGCTGAGGAGTTGGGAAGTGGTCAGTCGGGCTGCTTTTCCCTCAAAGATCCCTGGGAAAATCTTGCCTCATCCTTCCCCACACACAGCCAACATTAACTCGATGGCGAGGATAGGTCTATATTTAAATACCTGCAGCTTTTAGGAATAAGATGAATACTTCACAATGGAAAATGAACCAACTGACTAAAGATGCTGTGTCTGCACCTCCATGGCATTCCTTTCAAAGCCTCAGGCAAAAGGAGCCAAGCGAGATGGAGCGAGCCACAGATGCTCGGATGTTTCTGGGAAGCCTCAGCTGTGGTGCAGGGGTGGTTGTCTCATGGGGAACTGGAGGGTTGGGCCCTTCCTGAGAGACCCGCCTATTTCCTGGGGGATGAGTGGTTTCTTCCACTGTCCCCAGGATGGAGGAAGTTCTTTTCCCACATCTCTAGTGGGAACATCCTCTTTCCTCTTCCCCAAATCCAAGGACCCATTTTTTGGTCAATGTTTCCTCAGATGATGATCATGCTGGGAGCTATCTGTGCCATCATCGTGGTAGTTATTGTAAGTAAGTATCGCTGAGATTGCTGGTGGGGTGAAGAGGTGGGAAGGTCCTGGAGTCTTCTCCCAGCCCTGCCTGCCTTCCTGCCTGCCTGGGGAGTAGGGCTGCTCTCACTGAGGTATGGAGATCGCTGCTGTGGGATCATCACCTGGTTTGGGAGGGAGGAAGGGCAAAGACAAGGGACTTCCTTGATGGACAAGCCTTCCCTCTGCAAGATCTCGTGGGAAGATGGTCCTTCCTTTTCTGAGGAAGTGGGGCTGTGCTGTTTGTCACTGGCTTGGGTCAGAGGGAGACCACGGGGATGGAACACCTGCGACTGAAAGGCCTGAATGTCTAGTAACGTGATGTAATTTGCCCTCTTGTTTTCTCCTGTCTCTTTTTCTTTTCCATCTGGGACTTCCTGATTCCTGTGTCCAGTCTACTTTTTTACTTGAGAATGTGCCACCCCTTCCCTGTTCTCCATTGCCATCCAAACTCACATCCCTCTCCCTCTGTTTGCTCTCTCAATGAACGTCCCCATCTACCTTCCTCCACCCTGTCCTGGCTTCTCCATCGCCCATTCCTCCTTTTCTGTTGCTCTCATTTGCACTGTGTCCCTCAACACTAGAAATGCTGCTCGTGGCACAGTCTCGAAGTAACTCCCTGAAGAGCCACAGCTGGCACCTCCCTGCCCCCTTCTTATGTGCTCTCAAGTTCCCCCAAAGCCAAAAAGAATTGGAGGCCAAGAGAAGAGGAAGGGGTGTAGCCAAGGTGACGTGCCCAAGAAGCTGTCAAGATTGGGGAAGGAGAAGGGTGTTGGTGCCCATGGTGTTACCAGGAAAGGCCCGGTCACTGGTGGGAGGGGACTGGGAACAGCAGGGAGAAGGGCAGCTCACTCAGGACTGCCCTGATCACTAGGGGCTCTTCTCTTAGGCCAGACCTGAAAAGGAGCCTGGGGTGGGCCCGAAATCCAACTTGGTTGGGGTAGTACCCTTTTGGAAAGTCAAATCTGTTTTTGCAGTTATTTCTGATCTGTCCGAGACTTTCTGTCATCAGGGATCATACAGCCTTTTGCTTTGTTTTCTGGAGACCTATAGAAGGCATCTTAATTGCAAAAGGACCAGCTTCATTCCCATCCTAGAAGCAGCCCTCTAAGCTCATAACTACAAGGGGTTGTCTCTCGTCCACATTTTCTGCAGGATTCTGTATCATTTATGAGAGCACCACATAATTTCATAGAGCCAAAGCTGGGGATTCTGAGTTAGTTTTAATTGTTGGAGATAACAAGTATTAATTATAGAGAGACAACGAGTCAAGGGCCTAATCTGAAAATAACAAGCTTGGAAGAAGCCACTTGTTGCCAGCTCGTTGGGGAGGGTCCCACTCCTCCCTTCCCCTTGATAAAGCATGAGGTGTTAGAATTGAGGATACCTGGGCTCTCCGGGACTGCTTTCCTCTATACCCTTCCCATGTACTTACCAAAGATAAGGATGAGGCAGGAGGTCCTTCCTGAAGCTGGCAAATTCTGAGTATTCTGAGAAGTCCAGTATACCCCCCCAACCGGTCTTGGGTGGGAGGCGGGACTGTCTGTGGACAGGTGCTCATGTGCACTGCTGTGCCATTATGGGCCCCCTTATCTAGAGCCTCCTGTCTGTTCTTCCTGTGCTGTGTTCCCCTTCTGAACTACCTGTACCCTTCTGAACTCCACTTTGCCTCCTTTCCTTTCCCCTCTGCATGGTTTGTGGGGGGAGACAGTGGAACCCGAGGGTGGGAGGCCACGGCTGGGCTTCAGGATAGCTTGTGGAGTGGGACAGACCCAGGCGTGAGGGAAGGAGGGAGGCTGGGAGCAGCAAGGGGGAATACCCATGACCCCTTATTCCTCCCGTCCTCCAGCCCACAAGCAGGAAGAGGCTGAGGCCAGGCCAGGCCCAGCCGGGCTGGGTCTGGGTGCTTCCTTTCCATGCAGCAGCATTTCATTGCACAAAACCATCCTTCCTCTCCTTTTGCCCCTGTTTCCCACATTCCCTTCGTCCTGCCGCAGGGCAGGACTGAAGAGCTGGAAGAAAGCAGTCAGTGTACCCTCCCAACGGCCCCCCTCGAAGGTCTCCAATCTCCTCTGGGCTCCTCCTTGCCTAATGCAGGGGGTCACCGCTGGAGAAGAACTGCCACTGTCCTCGATGTGTCCCGAGCCTGGAGCAAATTCGCCCTCTTGGCCCACCCAGCCCTGTCACAGGAATTCTTTCCTGGGTTTCTATCCCTCTGAGGCTCACCAGATGTAGTTGGCTTTGTTCTTCTGGGGATGTTTGGCCTTCTACTTTCTTTCTCACCCCACCCTGTACCCTCTTCTGTGTCTTTGCTGTCCCTCTTCCCTCCCACCACCCATGTGCATGAGCAAATATGCAACCAAACCTTGGGACTTTGCAGTCAAATGAAGCCGAGCTTCCCACATCCCCTTCTTCCTTGGTTTGCCATGAGGCGATGTGGGGTTTCCACTGTGTGTCTGTCATCACTTCTGTCTTTTTTCCTACCCCCAACCTCATACTTGTATAGAATAATAACTGTTGTACTTCCACCCCAGGCATGTGGCATATTTACCAACTTCATGTATTCTGAACAAAGGCAAAAAAAAAAAAATATATATATATATATAAATTCCTACCACTAAACTGACTTGGTTGTTGTTTGGGTTGGAGTAACTGAGGAGGGGCGGGGGGGGGGTTCTTTTCCTTTACGGTGTGTTGTTGCGTGAGGCCGGAAGGCTGGCTTACAGGTGCCATGTGGCACTCTCGAGATAAAAGATCCATGTGTTGGCAGAGGAAGTGGTCTCCGCTCTGCATCTGTACCTGGCGCGGCCCGACTCTTCCAGGTGCTAGTGAGAGGAAGTGGTGACAGGAAGTCGAGTGGGCATCTCACATATCACATCAGAAACCACTGCAGGTTTTCTCTGACGCCTCCCCTCTGCCTCCTTCCTATGTCCTCGTGCTGCCCAGACTGTCCGAGGGGGCGCCCACGTGAGGCCTCTGCGAACACACCCTGTTCCCCAGCAGCCTCACGTCCAGTTTTCTTCTGCTGAGTTCCGCTGTCGTCACCAGACACATCTTAGAGTTGGATGGAAGGAGAAATCTCTCCCTGGCAGTTGAATGAGGGAGGCGCTGTCCAAAAGAGGTCGATCTTAATTGTGGCTCAGAGTTCCAAACAGAGCAACCTGACGTGGCGCCCCAGGGCCACCTCTGAGGGCCTTCGTTTCATACCCTGAACACTCTGCCAGTGGGTGTGGCAAGGCTTGAGGACAGGGCTCAGTTGGGTCCGGTGTGGGGAAAGACAGGAAAGTGGAAAAGCTTTGTTTCTGAGGACACAAGAGGCTTTTATTTGGACAGAGTTCAAATGCTTGTGTGTTATGGCCCAACTGCCACACCCCTTTGTCCCACTGTCCCCCCGACTCACTCCTTTTTTTAAAAAAAGATTTATTTATTTTAGAGAGGGAATGAGAGCATGAGTCAGGGGGAGGGGCAGAGGGAGAGAATCTTCAAGCAGACCCCCACTGAGCATGGAGCCCCATGCAGGTCTCCATCTCATGAACCATGAGATCATGACTTGCCCACTTACTCCTTTCTTAGTGTTTTCCCTTTTTCTTTTCTACCATAGGCTCATTTTTTAACCTCCTACCCAGACATTCTACTTTCAACCACCCTCTCACCTCTTCACGTTTTCTCCCTTGGTGTTCAGCCCAGGGACACAAGGAAGGAAGGCAGAGACCCACACAGAGCCAGGTCCCCAGGATCTGTGCCTTCTTCATGCCTTTCTTGGGGCCTTTTTGAGCTCTGAGACTTGGGCTGGAGTCCTTCTGGGACAATGTGACTACTATTCCCTTTTGCTCTAAGGCAGGAGGGCGGTTACCCAGAGGGCCTCAGAGTCTTGGCAGATCTTGGTGAGGTAGCTAGGAGAAAACAAGAAGGAAGGAGGATGTTTTCAATTGAGGTAACCCCAAAAGCCAGGGGCTGTGGTATGGGGACTGGCTGGAACTCAGGACACTTGGGCTTCATCCCTGGGCTGGGTGGGGAGGTGGCTGGAGCCGGCTGATCTACAGGTAAGGAGGGGCAGGGCAGGGCTTACCTTGCCGTCTCTGAAGCCCCAGGAACAACAGTGCAAGAAGGAAGAGGCTGCTGGCCAAAAGGACTCCAAAGGCTGTTTTCTGCTCTGTAGGTTGAGAACAGCACAGGCAGGAATCAGTAGGTTGGAATAATTTTTGAGGCCGCACCTGCCCCAGCAAGAGGGACAAAGCAGGGAGGGAAAGGGAGAGGAGAAAGAGAGCATGTCTGCGCGTGCACCCCCATCCCTGGTTAAGGAGTTCATGGCAAGCGTTCTGCTTTCACCTAGGACCTGGGCACACTGTAGTATTCATACTTGTTGAAGGTTGTGGGATGTCCATGTGTTTTCCTACCCCTTCCCACTTTGGGACATTTAGAGAGATTTAGGTTAGATAAGTTGTTGACAGGTAAACTGAAATTTTGACTAGCTGGGAAACGAAGTAAACTGAGACAAAACCCCAGTTCTGGGGAAGCTTGCAGTCTGGCAAGCTACCAAATAATGCCCAATGCTCCCGGATGTTTGCATTTCTTGTTGAAAACCTCTCTATGACATTCTGTGACTTTAGGATGAAATTGCAGCCTGAAATCCCATTGTGATCTGCCCTCTAATAGCGTAGAGGGTTTAAGGCTGTAGGGCAGTCAGTGCCCATTTTTCATATTTTCTTTGACCATTTACTAGGTTGGTGGCCTTGGGCAAATTCCCTGACATCTGTAAGAGCTAGTTTGCTCATCAGTAAAATGGGAGTCATGATAATACACGTGATCATATAGCTAACTGCTTGATTCATATAAATGCTCAATAGATGTAATTACTTTCAAGCTCCAGGGCCACTTCTCCCTTTTCCCACATACCCTTGGCTCTAGCTGTGCAGTTCCCCAAGTTCTCCTGAGACTGTTTATAATCTGGCCTTCACATATGCTGTTCTTTCCGTCTTGGCTGTTTTCTTCCCCCCTGAGCTAGCTCCCTCAGCAGGCGTCAGTGGCGTCAGTCCCTCCAAACTGACTAAGCTCCTTGAGGGCAGGAACCCTTGGTCTCCAGCTCTCAGTATACTGCCTGGGGCCCTGGAACCTGGGGTTTGGTGGAGTCTTGGGATGTGGGGGCAGCTAGGATTGGGGGGCTGCCACTTCGGGAACCAAGAGGCAGAGGTTAAACAAAGTGCTGTGGGAAGCAGAACAAGGCCAGAGACTGAGCTGGGGGCAGGAGAGCCATGAGCCCAAGTATGGAGGTAGGAAAGGAGGGCAGTCCTAGTACCTGGTGGGAGGATCTGGGTGCTGGCCCCCAGGGGCTGCTCCAGGGAGCTGTGGGCGACCTGGCAGGTGTAAGTGGTGCCTATAGGGCCAGGTTCTACGGTCAGAAAGGAGGAAATGCTGTAGGTGCCCGCTGCGCTTTGCCGGAGGCTAGAGAAGGAGGCGCCAGAGACTGGGACCGGGGCTCCGCCTGGCTCCTCTCGACTCCATGTCACGGTCATGTCCAGAGGATAATAGCCAGTGATGCTGCAGATGAGGGTGGCTGGCAGAGTTTTGTTCTCCAAGCTGAGTCGTACTTTGGGGGAAGCTGGAAGAAAGAATGAGGAAGAAGATGCCAGAGGGCCCCAACCTGATGGCTTAATCTCCCAAAGCTTCCTTTCTCTTCCTGCTGGGAGTGAAAGTAGGTTGTGGGAGCTGAAGGAATTAACCCCCAGTGGAGGGCCCAAGGTGGGTGTAAGGAGTCCACCCTGGGTGCAGGCCAGAAGGGAGCACGTCTTTCATAGGCAGTTGAAAAATAGTAGTAAAACCAAGTAAAGGTTGGCTTCTTCCCATCACTATAGGCTGCTGATTTTCAAGGACATAGTGATGAAGTACTCCTGCCAGTCAGACAGCGCCCACGGCCCCTCCTGGGTTTGCTGCTGCTCCTTCTTAGGATGTGGTCCCAAGGGACTGGGGTACTTGGGAGACAGCCAGCCAGGACAGGGTGGTGGGATCTGGGATGGGAAACTGCCTGGTGGAATTCTCCTGGAGTCTGACGGGGAATGGTCTGTGCCTCTAGGATGGTGATGGCAGTTAGGTCATGGCAATGTGACCGTCTGCCTCTTGGGGACTTGCCCTTGTGTTGGATTCTGTCCTGGAAAACGCTCCCATAGGTGTATCCCTTCCACTCTCCCTCAGAGACCTGAGTATGGCCTCACCTTGGACGTGGACCTGGATGATTTGTTGAGCTTGGTACAGAGAGGTGGTGATCTGACAAATGTAGGTCCCCTCGTCCTTCAGGGTGAGGCTAGGCAGGGCAAGGGAGGCGTCCCCGGCCACAAGTAGCTGCTCAGGCTGCAGCGCAGCGCCCTTCCGCTTGGCCTGCTGCTGCCCCCTTGTCCAGCTGTACACCAGCTCGCTGTTGCCCTTATGACGCAGCCGCCACTCCACACGGGTCAGGTCCAAGCCCGGTGCCATGGAGAAGACACAGGGCAGGGAGGCTGAGGACCCCAGCAGGACGTTCAGGGAGGGGGTCTGTGTTGTCACTTGGAGCTCCACTGCAGTGAGAAAAAGAAGGGTGATTGTGGGCTGCTTCCTCCTTCGGCCCACTCGATTTCTAGCTGTGGGCACATGCCTGCCTCTGCCCCCTCCTCTGGACAATGAGGCCAGCTGAGCTCATTTCCCACTAGTTGGAAATGGTGCTCTGGAAAGGCAGCCTGGCACACATGGTAAACCTAACTATTTTGGAATCACTTACCCCCAGACAATCTAACAAAAGCTATGGACTTCTCACCAGACAAGTCCATATCCAAAATTAGGGGTTACCATTGACCTTCAGGTCAGGCCACTGGAATAGCAGAAAAAGCTTTGGAACCCTTCTCCTTCCACTTACTAGCTCTGTGACCTTGGGCAAGTCACTGAGGGTTGCCAAGGCCATCTGCTTAAGGCAAGGATGCTGTGAAGACAACACAGGAGTAAGAGATTTATTTATTTATTTATTAAAAGATTTTATTTATTAATTTGACAGACAGAGATCACAAGTAGGCAGAGAAGCAGGCAGAGAGAGGAGGAAGCAGGCTTCCCTCTGAGCAGAGATCCCAACGCCGGGCTCCATCCCAGGACCCTGAGATGATGACCTGAGCCGAAGGCAGAGGCTTTAACCCACTGAGCCACCCAGATGCCCCAGGAGTAAGAAATTTAAAAAGCACACAGTGGTAGTATTTGTGCAAAGCGTGTTAAACCTGAATCTAATGAGGAACAATCAGACACATCCAAATGGTGGGATGCTCTTTGAGACAGTGGGCCTGGACTCTCCAAATATCAGTGCTGGGAGAAGAATGTTCTGGACTTAAGGAAGCTAAGAGCTTAGGGCCCCTGGGTGGCTTGGTTGGTTAAGCGTCTGCCTTTGGCTCTGGTCATGATCTTGGGGTCCTGGGATCAGGCCCCATGTTGGGCTCCCTGCTGATCAGGGAGCTTTCTTCCTCCCTCTCCCGCTCCCCTTGCTTGTGCTCACTCTCTGTCAGGTGAATAAATAAAATCTTAAAAAAAGAAGAGGGATGCCTGGGTGGCTCAGTCGGTTAAGCGTCTGCCTTCCACTCAGGTCATGATCCCAGGGTCCTGGGATCGAGTCCCGCATGACGCTCCCCGCCGAGCAGGGAGCCTCATGCGGGACTCCCTCTGCCTGCTGCTCCCTTGCTTGTGCTCACTCACTCTCACTCTCTATCTGATAAATAAATAAAATATTAAAAAAAAAAAGAAGAAAGGGAGCTAAAGGTACAGGACAACTAAACACAATGCACGATCCTTGTTTGAATCCTGGCCTTTAAAAAAAAAAAAAACACAAATAAACAAACCCAAAATCAAACCAGAAAGTTATACAGAACATTATTGGGGCAGCTGGAGAAGTTTGAATTTGGACTCTGCCCTGAAAGGACTACTGTATCAGTTTTACAATTTCTTAGGTCTGATGCTCAGTGGCGTACCAAGCAGTGGTGGGGGTGATGGG